TTCTGCTCGTTTACACACTAAATCTCTTCGTAAACACATAAAGCCCATTCAGTCTTTCAAGAGGAATCCGTGGAAATTTATAATAAACTTACCTTTCTCTTCCCATTCCTTAAGTTGCCCTAACAACTTCTTCTCTTCTTCATCACCTAATTTCAGACTTTTCACCAAAACGTCCATGCGGCTGAAGCAGTCTGCAATTTTCGCCTTATCCCATACAGTAAAATTGCAATGACCCCAATCATTACGTACGTGTTTTCGGACGTTCTCCGCGGCATTTTGTGTTGCCATGGTAAAAATGCTTGCAGAAGCTATTATTCCAAGAACTGCCGACAAGTCACAGGATTCATCAATTCCTGTTAAGATTAAAAGAAGACGTGAACAACTCGATGCCAAATTCTGATGGAACCAGCGCCTGGCAATTTTCGAGACTGTCATGGAGAAGCCACGGAGCGCATGGAAATCGATGCCATTAAGGTCTTTCATCAAATATACAATTCGTTTGAACAAAAATAGCATCATTACGTGAAAAATAAAATTTCAAACTAACCGGTGAATTTGGCCATAAAAGGTTTGAAATACAGCTTTGCCAAATCGACCTCAGATGTGACCATGTAGTCAAAGAGCGGTGGTTTCTTTCCTTGGTTGCTGTTTATGCTGTCATAATTGAATTTGTATGTTCCATCTATCTTAAGATGTGTTCCAAAGACTTGGGTGTGGATGTTGTGACTGGTCTTCAGATCATTGTAGTGCTTGGTAATGTTTGGAAGAACAAAACTTCGCAAAGCAGGCAACAGTACCTTCATGATAGCAATTCCAACCACAACCCATCTTTTGTTATTTTCATCAAGGCTTAAGGATCCTGCAAGAATTGATTAAAATTAATAGAAATTATAAATAAATCACTCCAATCTTTAAATACCTGTAGTCGAAGTTATGCCAAAGGGTACTGTCTCGGGTCCGGCTTCGTGGATTGGTCTGGAAGCAGACGCCTATATAAAGGAATGATTACACAGAATTAGACTTAAAGCAGCGAGACATAAGTGACACTTTTATGCAGGTCTATATCGAACAGGTTGGAATCTTGCAAAGAGGGAAAATGCACAATAAAACATCGCGAGTGTGAAAAACTAACTAGAGGTATTTCATGACATGTGCATACATTCGAATAAGATACGACACGTTTTCACCAATCCTTTTCTTTTGCGCTTTACAGTACACAGGGCTATATAGCCAATTAAGATCAGCAGTACTTAAGTATGATAACGTCAGAGAGCCTTTACACTGTTTGATTGTCTTTCACAAATATGCTATGATCTACTTTGCCATCGATTATTCATGCATACTATGAAATGAAGACAAAGACCCTTGGAGATCAGAGATGTCAAGGAAAGCGATTGCGCTAAATCTGCCTTGATTACTTGAAGATAGTATGCATTGCTCCCTCGGTAATATTAAAACATAGAATGCTTTTCACCTTTTCTGGTTTTGGAAACCAGTGAGAAATGTAGTCACATGGAATGTCAGTGACCTTGGAAGTTGGATTTTCTAGACAGCGAAGACGCTTCTCTTTAAGGATTTCTTCTTCTGTGATGAAGTGCACACAGGCAGGGCTTACACATCCTGGAACATGAGGCAGGTTACAGTCTGGAGATGGCTTGCAAATGGGACAGCGTATACACAGGTTATACTTCATCCTTTCCATCCAAGGGAAGTCTTTGCGCATGTCTGTACCGAGCTTAGTTTTCAGAAAGTCAATGACCTCCTGGCAAAAGTCACTGATCTTCTGGTCGTCTGCTTCATTATTATTGATAACTCCAATAGAAATGGTTCTGATGTCAGAGGTGAGCACCAAGTCAAAACTTTCATCTTTGCCAATGCTAAAAAACCTTTTGAAATATAAACATACATATTAACCTGGCTAAATCAGCAATCTTTAAAACAATTCATGAACAAAATTAAAAGTGAAGCCATAAAAAATAGAGGGCATGTAACAGCAGGTTATGAAGATTTGTTAATTGGGGAGAAATAGAAGATTAGTGGAGTAAGACCAAGCCAAGTATAGGAAATACTCATAAATGTCATAAGAAGAAGAATGAATCGATTGACTTTAGAAGATCTCTAGAAAACGTTCTCTAGATGAAGAAGACGAATCTTGTAACAATACGAGGTATTGAAGTACTCCTAAAAACTGTTACCTGCAAAAGTTGTGGAAKAACTTTGGCGGACGCGCACTTGACCACTTGCGATTGCACAATTCTGCAAACAAAACCTGAAGTCTTGGAAAGATACCAAGAGGAAGATGTGAGCTTGGAAAATACACGATWAGRGGTGGCATCTGATCTTTCAGCAGCTCAGCGATATCTTGGGCACTGCTGTTCATTARCATCGCTGGAACAAGGAAAACATCTTCTTTGTCATCAATTTTCCAGCGGCAAACTAGTGAGAATTTCTCCATAATCACCAACAGAGAATCAATGGCATGTTTGTCATCTGCTATTTCTCTCCACACATGTTCCAAGAGAGAGACGTCTAGCACTCCTTCATTCTCGAGTTTGGTCCAAGAATCTGTCTGTTCCTCTTGCCAGTTCTCAAAAGGCTCAACTGTGATGACACTGCTTATCATGCTGACTAACCACGGGATATCGATGAAGACAGTTTCGGTGCCTTCGAAGAAGATGATTTCTCTGATATCRTGCAGATAATTTAGGAGAGTGAGGAACTCAGCAGATTTGACATCAACTTTGCAGTCAAGAGCGATCGYCTTTGCTTCATCAGTGGACAAATACCTTTTCTTTCCAACCTGAACAAGAGATGAAAGTTCYTTCTCAAATCGAAACCATCTCACCGGGATATCCTCATTCATGTGTGGCAGATATTTTGCCACTTCACAAATGTCTTTCCTTAACCTTCTTACACCTTCATCTTCATCAGACGAACCTGATACAGTGTTRTCGACGAGATAAAGCCYTTTGACTACGTGTTCCCCTGGTAGGTGGTCCTTTTTTTTCARGTGCTCAAGRATTTCTCTTGAYATWMCTTYAGCATYCTGTCCATCAAATGGGMTGTCTGCGTGCGTACATGCTAAGAAAACAGGTGGTAGCTTTTTTGGCATCAATGCACATTTCGAAGACGTGTCGTGAGTTTGGCGTGTTGCACTTAATGCAACAAAGGACAGCCAGAACTCRAGATGATCCATATTTTTCACATGACACTTGTCAGCTATTTTTCTTCTTGCATGTCCTTTCTTTGTAACCGGCATAGACTGGCTGTTTGCATCATTTTGCAGATTGTGAACAAGAAGAAAAATACCTTTGGTGGAAATGAACAACGGATGAGTCACGTCGTAAACGGGCTGACCGGCAATATCCAATGCTGTGCAAATGATATCTTCACTTTCAATTGCCTTTTGTTTTGGGAGAGCGTCCAGTTCGTCCAGTATCTTTTCCTGTAGTCTAGGATCAATTGGACTATTAACTGCCTCGGTACTTGAAAAATTAAAATTTTCTTGCCTCACAATGTCCGGTTTTACAAAACTCTTTTCAGCATTTCCAGACCCTGTAATATCATTGGCATTTCTAGATCTTTTCTTATCTATGTCTACAACTGGATGAGATTTTGTAGATCTTTTCTCGTCTTTTTCCACATCTTGCTGAGGTTTTTCGACAATTTGATAATTCTTAGCAATGTTTTTTGATATGACGCTTTCAAAAGAAATTTCGTCTTCACTTGCACCATCTTTTACCCAAATGCTGTCTACTAGCTTGCAACAGTAGTGATGTAGGGCTATAAGATCAGTGCTATCCTCGTCGGGATCAAAAGCCTCTCCTGAAAGAATGTGAACTTTTAATCATATTGATCCATGTAAATATTTGTAAAAATTTGTAAAATTGTAAAAAAAAATTAATGTTTTTCATAATTTTACGGCCTTCCTAGCCTTTTTAGAAACAATTAATGGACTGGGAATGAGGTTATAAGATCAAAGGTAGGAAAAATAAAGAAAAAATATGACATACATGTATTATCGACAGCTGAAACGTTTTTCGTAGAGTTTAGTCAACAAAAGCGCAAATAATTTTACAGGGACTAATTTTTACTGTTTTGTACAATTTTGTAATACGTTGTGCACGCGTACCCGTGCAATAGCTGGAGCAAGAAATATAGGGGAATGATTTGGAAACCTTTTGTTGTACATCTTTCGTACGAATTTTGAGGTTGAATTAGTCAAGAACGTGCACAACTTTTTTCCTTACGGACGATGGAAATTGCAAAATGATGAGTGAACATAAACCCTTCTACGAAGTATATTTTTCCCTTTTTTTTCGTAGAAGTGGGTGGAAAAATCCTCTGCTTGCAGGGTACTAAACACTGTGAATACGAGATTATTTTTTGGTGCTTTTTTGAAGAAATAGTCAAAAGAATAATTTTCGCTCTGTTCATTCAGATGTGATCAGTATGTCTAAGACAATAGTTAAACAAAGGATTGTGCACGGTCACACTTGGAAAAAAGTGCACAAAAACCCACAACAAAAGGATTCACAACCATTCCCCCTAAAAACTATGATTACCTTTAAAAGACTTCAGTAAACTTGTTTTGCCTGAGCGAGACGGGCCAATCAACATCAGAAATAATCGTCGATTCTTTGTTTTCCCATTCAAAAGTGCATTCTCATAGGCTGCAAAGGCCCGTGGACCACGACAAACTATTTCAATAGGAGCACCGATGTGAATCGTTCCTGCTTCAGTAGCCATTTTGATCACCTCAAGTGCGCAGGCGTTAATGTGCTTGAGTCTGTCAGGTCCAATGTTAACATCGCCATGCCAGTACGTTACTATAACAACTACATCCTCTACCTTGCATATTTGTAACAGGTGTAATAGCCGTTTGTTGGCTTCATACTCACCATCATCAAGACCTTCATTATTTAGATAACTATTCTTTTCTTTGTCAAAAATTCTGTAGGCAAGAATATAATATGCTGCTTCATCAATCTTCGTCTGTATTTTCTGCTGTGTAAGAGCCTGTTCAACCTGTTCTTGTGAGGTGACTCGAGCAAGATGAGCTTGGAATTTGCTTTTGCGATCTGTAATGACTTCACTGTGGATAAAATCAAATTCACTGCTTTGTGTTTCTGGTGCAGCTTGTTTCAAATCCCCATAGGCTATTGTCGTTAACTTCTGATAGACAGCTTCAATGATTTCTGTGATTGTTTCTGTTTCAACAGACAAAAGGGAAGGTATTGTCATGTATTTACTAGAATGACTAACACAAACAAGATGGCGTTGACTCAGTTTTTATTCGCACGTGTTACACTTTACATGCGTGCGCATGTTACACAGGTAATCCGTAACAGGTATCATGATTGATAACATCATAAAAATCATTCATTGAATTTATATAAGATGCCACCATTTAAATGGACATTATATAAAATAAATTTCAATTGATAATAAAGTTTTTGTTCAAGGCATTTGCTGCGCTTCTAATATTTCATGCTCAATTTTTGAGTACCTCTAAGACACAATCATGCACACAAAAAGTAGGCAAACCTCTCACCAAATTCCCCACCAAATACAAACTTGCTGTTTTCTGCTGAAAATGATATACTTACTAATTTTTGGATGATATATTATTTCTAAAACAATTTTGGCCATTAAAAGTCTGTGTGATGTAAAATGCACAAGTTGATGGGCATCATTGATTGGCGCCTTAATAGTGAAAAATATTATTTAATAATGGTAGCCCAAAGCTCTACTGTAAAGGCTAAAGGATGATTTACATTTTAATTTAGCTTTTTTATGGCCCACTTAGACTCCCCACAGCCATCTTCCGGTGAGGACACCGGAAAAACGGCTGCGGAGAGTCTAATGGCCCATAGCCTCTGGTCCAAATATGACATAATTATACAACCATACAGATAAGTAGTTTAATGACAACAAGAACCTGATTTCAGGGTTGACTCGTGCCTTGACAATGAGTTGGCAAGAGTCTTTGAGTGAATAATTGAACTAGTGATGACAGACAGCAAAAAAAGTAAAAGATGTAGTTGCCATGCAACCAATTTCATCTGTAGCTCAGTAGCTAATCAGTAGCTCCTAAAAAAGTAATATTTTGATTTCCCGATACATAGAGGATCGATATTACACGGTGTGGAAAAGATCTATCCCAAGTATCATATAAGTCTTATAAGCGAACAACAACCAAAGAGATTTTCAACATGAGAAGATCAAATTTGTAATGTAATCTTCTGTTTATCATATAATTATCAATAAAAGTAATGACGTTTTAAAATAACAATTTATTTACTTTGAGCTCCATTAAATAGAGAAACCAAGAATGTGTTATTTACTACTAGGTCACCTCATTGAAAATAACAACTTTAACGGTAATGGAGAAATATAGGCGCAATGAAAACAAACAAACATTGACATAGAGTGAAGGCATTGATCCTGTGAAATAAAAGTTAATAATTAAACTGTAATAGTCAAATAGACACAAAAGAAAACAATGGAATTATCGAGTAATAACATGTAATAGTCAAATATGTATTTCACGGGTTCATTGACTTCACTCTACACTAACTCAAAGTCTTCAATTGTCTTAAAATAATATCATCAAACCTCTTAGAATTAACTTGAGTGTAAATACTTCCTTCTATTAGAGTCAATAATAAGAAAATATATTCCTAAACTTTGTAAGAAATTTCAGTAAAAAATTTGCGTGCACATGACTACTTTACACATTCAACTTCTTAAATATTTTAATCGCAAAGCATTACAAACACTAAAACTGTGCAACATAAATACCACTAAATAAATTATGCTAATCTATTATTTTCTATTGTTTAATTATAACACTATTTTGTTGTAAATAGTGAGAGTGTTGCACACATTTAATGTTTGTACTCGTCAGTGTAATAGTTAATAGTTATGAAGTGAAAATTCGCATGAATATGGTTTTGTGCAGGGGGGGAGGTCGTCTCTAGGGCCAATCGCTGTACAGGGTTATGTCCTAATATGACGTCACGCGCGATTTCGTGAAGAAGTCCTCATGTCGAGAATGGCTTCAAAGTGTTTGATCTACAAAATATGCATGTCTTTGGAGAAAGTGAACTTCGAACTTAAGAAATAATGTAGAGGAAGTCTCTGAGTATTGTATTTTGGAAAAAAATATATGGAATTTATACTCTACTGTTAAATTTTATGGGAAAGAAGACAGTTAGTCCGAAACAAAATGGCGGAAATTTTCATTGCTCGGAAACATAAATGTGGTGATATCTTGAGATCTACGCAAGAATTCGTCACCAAAGGAGGAACATTTGTAAAGTAAAGTCGGAGGATTTTGGAATTGTATACATCAAGCTTGTCGGATCAGTGGAACTTCATATCTTTTGCTTTGAACACCGAGAGTGATGAACATGGAACGTAGAACGACCTGTGTATTGAACTTGTGGTAAGTGTTTTGACATTTGTTGGCTAAGTTAAAACCTTAATGGCAGTTTTGAACGGACACTACTAATATTTATTGATTACTTGTGAATTTATTTCAACTAGATTTGAGTGTTTAAGCATAGTTGACTCAGAGAAAGGTCATACTGTAAGCTTGTTCCATTGCAGTTTGGCATAACTTGAGTACATTTTTTACACCAAGTTGATTATTTCTTTTTCTTTTATTTAAGAATTTTCCGGAGATCTAGAGACTTATCATAACTAGTAAAGACAAATGTATTCAACATGTCGTTTAGATCAATTTTTCTTCAACTGAAATTTGAAGTACATTGAGCTTACATTAAGTATGCATTAGAAGTGTATTATTT